TGAAGACGGATGGAAGAATGCAAAAGATTTGCTGTTCCACGGCTGAAGAGTGTTTTCTTCAGTGTTAGTCTTGGACCTAGACTTTTGTAGCACTGGTACCTAGGCCGCTGGGAGAGGGGGAGGGGGCGAAAAGCTCATCCCCTCTCACCTTTCCGTCCTGGATCCGCCTATGCTCAAAGCCACCAGCAGCCTGATTAATAAGCAGATTCGAAAGATTGCGCCATTGAAAGCCTTCGTGGTATTGCAAAAAATTTCAGGATAATCGAGCATATGCGCTATCTGAAGTGAGCATGGGAGCGAAAGGTGCGTTCAGTGTGGAAGGGTGCGTTTTTTTGCATGTCTTTTCCAAGAACAACATTTAAAAATTAAAAGATTAGGCCATGATTGGCACCATTTGACAAGTGGTACCAAACCCGAAGGTACTGTTTTGCTGGTACATTCAGAGGGACCTATTAATGAAAAAGGTGCAAATGGAGGTAAAACATAAAAACTTGAAAAAAAAAGGATGATATGAAATTTAGACGGGATGAGGCGGTATTGCTCAAGAATAATATGTGGCACCGGCGGAAGACGAGTGGATTGCATGAGTTAGCATTATGGAGTACCTGAGAACAGAACAGTGCTTCGTCATAATACCTCTGCAATCGTGTATTAAAGCAGCTAAAACGACAGCTACAACTAAAATGTAAAAAAAAATCAAAAAATAAAAGACAAATCAGAGAAATATTGGAGAAAATGGAAAAAAAAAAAATCCAAAAACCATCGGTATCTCTGGCGGCAGCGGATGACATTTACTGACAGCTACAGATGACTTTTACTCCTTGGGGTACTTCTGAGGGGCCTCTGCCTCTCATATACAGTGTATGTGCAAGGGCCTTTTAACTTTTCGAAGAAAGTAACAGAGATTTTAAGGGTTTTAACAGAATCAGTAACTAAAAAGCGAAAAAGCTGTGGTATTCATGGAGCTAAGAGAGGAAACAAGAAATACTTGTACTTTTTAAGAAAATTAAGAGGAAAAAATTTTGCCTAGACGAAATACGGTGATTTGGTGAGAAGCTTTTATAGGCATTCAACTGCATTTTGTTGCCGCCTCGGTAGCCTTTTTAGAATTTGTTTTGGTATTCTTCATGCACCGTTCAAGAGCCTGCTTTTTCCATCTGTTATGAAAATAGCCGTTTTTTTTCTAGAAAAATGTCTCCAGTTTTTAAAGCTTGAAGCAAACTCAAAATTTATTCGTGTGGCGGCGGTACAGCGGACAAAAGATCACCGAAAGTTCGTAGTTTGAACTATTTTTTAGAAATATTGTTGTGGCGCATAATTCGCGAAAAATCATGAATGTCGATATTTCACGGACGTTGTGCTCGTTGAGAATTTTTGGTCCAAAAGAAAAAATACTCTGTACATTTTGGATTGAACTCCCAGTCAATCTTGAGGTTGTAAAATTTTTATCGCTTGTTTTTTTCTTGATGCTTAAAATTCTTCACAGATTCAGCTGAGGATAACAGGGCCTGATCCCTTCCGATAGCCCGGGAATGTCCCGACGATAACAACTTGCATACCGAGTGAACTGCACTAATTTTTCAAAAATCCGAGGGCTTGCTGGCCGTTGTTCTTAACTGATTTGTGTTTTTCATTCCAGAGAAGCTAGTGCTGTTTTTAAGAACTTCCATAACCTAATAATCTTCCTGAGGAACTCCGCTTTGTGGCTAGTTTAAACCCAAGTGTAAGGATAGTATATTGAGTATTGTTGTTTCATCATCGCGTTTCTTGCCATCGATGCAGCTGGCAACTTCATTTCTGGGCTTATCCGGAAGTGGAGATGCGTCCAGTTGCACGAGCGTAAATACTCAAATTCTCTTCATAGTTGTACTCTTATGCAGTTTGCTTAAGGTTACATCGTAATCATGAGTATTTTGTAATAAAATAGATCTTGCCAAAGTGATTGGGGTGCTATTGATAAGTGGTAGCAGTTCACTGGTGGATCTAGGGAGCGAGGGACCTTTCGCTTCCCTCCCGGGGCTTAGGTAGCGGTTGTTTTACTGTACAAAAGTCTGTTCGGTACCACCTGTTACCTCCCTCTCTCCCTGGAGACCGTCCTAGACCTCTTACGCCGCATTTATAACTACCCGAAAGGATAGTAAGCAAAGATAAAAGTTATTTGAAATCAATACAGAGACAGAAATTAGAGAAATCACAGTTGAAATGACTTGTGGGATATCTGGGCTATTGGAAATAGCTGTTGGTTCATGGTCTGGATCCCTGTCTATGTAGCCGGCAAATTTCTAGTTATTTTAACCAGTGCTGGATTGCCTGGTAGTCAGCTTGCTAGCGATTCCAGCGTTTTTTGTTATGAAATAATCTTATTTATGAAATTGAGTCATTATTAATATGTT